TCTCGTCAACCATGCACCTGCAGATGCAAAGCACTTGTGAAACTCTATATAAACTTTGAGAGTTCATGAAAAGAAATGAACCAACAACCATTCAATGAATGCAGCAGCTTTAGAGTAATTATTCTTGAAACGGACCTCAATGTAAGATGCAGCAGCTTCAAAGTGCTTCTCATTTGTCTTAGCAATGAACATGTCCCAAAAGACAGACCACCATTGAAATAAAAAGCCACCAGGCGCATCAATGGATGGGTCACATGCGAACACAACATTAAAAGATAGATTCAATGCATTATTTAATTTTCTTAGATATAATTATTCTTGAATGGTACTGATACATCTCTTTACATACCTACTACTTGATTTGAGACAGTATACACCTAACATCCTCACTACCAAGTCTCTCCTTTGGATTGTCTAAAAAGCAGAAGAAAGCAATTTTAGAGCCAAAAGCATTTGCTCTTCATACCCATTTCTGATTAGTTTTGGATCAATTGCTTGAGTGGGATTTTCAAAAGTCATGATGTTTCTCATCCACTACTTAACCATACTCATCTCATTGGTATGCTAAAAAAATTCATCAAATGGAAGCTTCCCCATCACCAAAAACTAAAAGCTAAACAGATCTTAAGTCAAGCCGGCCAATCTAGCGCTCCCTTTTTCCCTCCAAAACATGGATCAACATATCCAACTTCCTTAAATCATAAGGGCCAATAAATCTAAAACAACAGAACAACAATACAATTTACAAAATGGAAGGCATGCATAATAACAAATAAAGAAGAGTAAAACCTAAAGAAAACACTAAAATTGATAATTAGAAAAGAAGAGTAAAACCTCTCCAAGATTTCATCTATGCAAATTGAATGACAAAGATAATAGGTTCATTGGAGTTTTTGTCAATCGCTGAACACTTTTTATTAGCAAAATTTCACCAAATGGTGAAACAGAGCTTATTATCATTGTTTGAAAGAAGGAAGAAAAATAAATAAATTGAAAGAAATATAATTTAAACTAATAAATTAAAAAGTACCTTAGATGATCACATTCAAATGAAATCATATTCAATAGATAACCATTTTTTGTCCCTTTCTTTCACTCAAGCACCACTAATAACAACCCAACAACCCAATAACATTTGCAAAGGAGCAAATCACTCAGTGTAGAAACCAAATTAAACTAACAGTGTAATTGAATAAATTAAAATAGATAAAAATATAATGAAATTATTCTGTAATAAATATACCAACTAAAAAAGCATTTTTTTTTTTTTAGTTTGATTCAAAATCTTATTAAACTCACTAAAAGAAAATGCATAATAAGGAATGTTGGAGTCATTAACCAAACTCTGAGCAATCCTAGGATTACAAATAATCTTGTATGCATGGGTGGTTGGCTTAAAAGGATCTTCATCCAAAGAAACACCACAATTTGAAATTGTATAAACTTCTACTTTAGTAAAATTATCCTTAAAATGCAAA